TGCACTTGTCTTGGGCCGTCTTTCTCAGGACGACCCGCGCTTGATACACTGCTTCCGACCACATGTTCCTGTGTTGAGGGTAAAAATGTTGTGATAATGAACATGCTGATGATGACGATGATGATGGTGATGAGGAGGAGGAGGAGGAGGACGCGGCATCGATGACGACAACGAGATGGCGTCAACGACGACGACGATGACGTCGGGCGATGACTGCGCCTACGATGAGCATGACGATCAGTAGCATCGTAACTGTTTCTTGAAGCACATTCTCGCTACTCGCGCTGATGTGCATGCTCCATTCTGGGTTCCCATGGTGCGTAAGCCGACCATGACTCGAAGTAGAAGTAAGTTTGTTCGCGATGGTTGTGCAGCAGTCGAGCGAAGCGGAACAACAGAGCAGCTGACACGACAAGCACAGCAAAGAAAAACTCTGTTGCTGAGTTCATGAGCCCCAAAACCTGCACACCTTCATCTCCAAAAGTGTAAAGTGTAGCCATTCAACTGAGAAAAGGAGAATAGCGCTCGGGCGGAGATTCTACCATGATAATAATAAGAAAGATACTACATATACACTTTATTCTATTTGATTACAACAAGGACCATACCGCAGTGGGTATATTCCACTGTGACTAGAATAAAGACTAAACTACATTTGGGGGCATTTTCTACGATGATTGCAAAGAAGCCTATACTTGTATCTCAACATGTGCCTGCTGCATAACCCTAAACCCTCAACCCTAAACCCTAAACCCTAAAACCTAAAACCTAAACCCTAAACCCTGGCAGAGGTCTGTCTTTTGCTCCCGAAGGCCTGGCTCGGATGCGGCGACCCAAAATCCACCATGAACCTTCCTGCCACGGACCACAGTAAACAAGCCGCTCACTGTCGGTGGCTCCAAGGTCTCGCCTAGGCTGACGTTCAACTGAGCAAAGCTGAACCCACCATGGACTTTGGGGTGACAGTTTCAAGACGAGTTTGGATTAGACGCGCAGCACCGCCCTGAGTCGTCGAATCTGCCAAAGACGGCCAACAAGTCCTGCTCATTGCCATGAGAACCAGAAACTCACAACCCACAATGCACGATCCAAAGTTGCAAGTGCTGCTAGTCAGTAGCACCGGCTACAGCTCAGGATGTCCGTGAAGTAGCTGCGGTCAAGGTCGGCAGTAGCAGTAACACTAGCACTAGAGGGCAGTGGCTCTGGCAGTGGCAGTGGCACTGGCAGCGGCAGCGGCAGTCATAGTAGTCGTCGTCG